CGTGGGGTTTCATCTTCGGAGTCGGCGCTTTTCGATGCAATTTTCTTAGCAATCGTTTTATACTCATCAAATGTGAATAATTGCTCATACGCCATCCATTGTACTGTGAATTCCTGTAACGTCATTGAAGCAAATTGAATTTTGTCGAATGCATCTCCCAAATACTTCTGAATAATTCCCTTTGTCAGTTCATCTTGGTGGCTCGCCGATTTCACCTTCAAACAATTCACTTTCTGAAGAAAACAGTCAACGTCTTGTTTCACAAAGAATTATTGTTGGGATTTTGACATTTTGTCATAATTAGTTTGATCAGAGGTCGCAAACAGTTCATAAGTAAAAATGTAAATGAAACTAGGGTTGAACATGTGCTACCCTCTAGTATCCACAGTTTGAAGCACGTCCAGGAAAAAACCATGGAGAAATATGCGTTATGCCGAATTTGGAAGCAAAATTCGAATCAAATACACCATTTACAGCAAAAGTACATGAATATAAGACAAAAAACACAAAAAATGCATACTTTTTGAGTTATATTATATTTTTGATTTTATTTTATTTTCATTTTGATTACAAATAATGAATAGTTTCGAAAAATATTGTAGAAAAAGTCAACTTGTGTACATTTTTAAAAGTATTTCATAAAAAAATGTATTCAAATGTGATTGAATGCGATTTTGTAAATTAATCCCCTTGCAGCACGATCATAATCATTAGTAGAGTCTCTGGGAAATTGAACGATGATATCCGAATCCATCTTCACTTCCGATTTCATCAACAAACCGGTGCAAGCGTTCTTGGGTGGTGACATTTCCATATGAATCGCATACATAACTCCAGGTTTAACGAGTATAGGGTTATCCAAACACACTTTTGTTGATTCTTCTGTTTGCATGTTAACATGTTGGGTAATGACAATGCTTTCTTCATCACCAAGCTTCGAAATTTCAACAATTGCCACTTTGGCTGGTATTTTTTCTTTCACATCAACATAAATCCCTTTAACAAACATCGATAGTTTATCGCACTGGAATCCACGCAGGAAAAATGGTTTATTGACCGTGAATTTCGTTGTTTCCTTACTTTTGATGAAGTATGGAGAATTCGAATATTTAAATGATACAAGTCGATTGCAGAGTAAAATTTTAAACTTGGGTTTGAATTGTTTTCTTTGAATTTCCATCTCGGATTTTGAGGTGGTACTTTTTGATACCAATTTCTTGATAATCTTTCTATATTCACCAAATGAGAATAGTTCTTCGTACGATGGATCGAATGATGTGAACTCCTGTAGTGTCATTGTTGCAAAACGAATTTTGTAGAATGAATCGCCTAGATACTGTTGAACAATTTCCTTGGTCAATTCGTCTTGGTGGCTCACCGATTTCAACCATGCCATACATGCTTCAAACACCACCAACTCTGGACAAGACAGTGAATCCAGCTGCAAAATGTTGGTCATTGTCACTTGGCTACACTTGAGGAAACTATCCGATGAAAATACTGCCTTCGTGTCGATGGCGATCATTGTTTCGCAATATTTTTTCAAAAATTCTTGATTGTAAAGAATGGCGAGATCATAGCCCCAACATACATTGTCGATGGATAGCAAAAGTGTCATGAATTCTTCACAAATACGCAAACATTCTTGTACATTGTACTTGTCTGCGAGATACATGACTTTGGCCACATTTTCTTTCGTCAACTTTGCTCGGCTCAAGTAGAAGAACTGAAGAAATTCCTTGAATTCGTCCATCGATGCGTCCACAATTTTGACCGAGTCTTGCACTTTCCATGAATCTTTGAACATGGAGAGAAAGACATCACTGATCGTGCCCAAGAAACTTTTATGAGTTGGAATTCGGTCGCATGGACCATCGGCTGACTCAAACTCGAAATGGAAGTCTGCCCATTTTTCGCTCAAATACAACTCTTCGCCAATCGTTTGAATGCCTTTAATTTCGTAATCGTTCGATACTTGATTGGTGACTGACATGACTGCGGTTGAATTTAATTTCGAAGTCCAATGTAAATGATTTAAGCTTACTTATTTGTGAATTTAAAGACCTTATAATGTTTGGTTTTATTTTCTTTGATAATTTTATGTTTTGAAAATTTGAAAAGCTTTATTATGAAATCAAACACCGCTAACATTCAATTTGAAAGATTCAACGAAAAATTGTTGAATAAAAATGCTTTAGAACTTAAACAAGTGTTAAACTGATGAACTGGTTGATCGCACTGTTAGTATAAAACTAAACTTTTCTTTGCTGAAGGTGAAACATGAAACAAACATTTGACACTGTCGAAATGAGTTTTCCTAATGATCGATGTTTTCTAAATATTGGATGATCTATGACAGAATTCAAGCTTGTACGTGTGTATGTGTGGTTGTTTATTTGGACTTATTTTACAGAAGGGAGGAGAAATGAAATACTATTTGCGAAATGAAAACGTAAAATATCAATGTGTGAGTAATGTTCTAAAATGACCACAGTCAAACGTCAGTTTTTGTTTTGGTTTTTTCTGGTTTTTTCTATTCTGTATGATTTCCTTTCGATTCAAAAATTAATGAATTTTTACTTTTTCAATATGTACTCCATATAGTTTCATTTGTATCCAATACAAAAATCATCGGTCGGATAATTACCGAATTTGCACGATTCTTTTATGCTGATAATTTAGTACTTTAAAATACATCCTTAAGTACCTCTAGGTGATTAACTATAGTGAATTACTTTCGTATGCTTTGGTACGATAAACTACTTACCTCTGTGAGCTTCGAGCGGTTGAACTAAAAGAACAACTGTCAGAATTCGAACAATGGTCCTTTGTGAATCTGTTATGGTCGCTAAATAAATACATCAAATGTGTATCAGCTGTAGGAGTGTAAACATCGAAAGTTAGTGAATTTGAAAAAAAAAAACATTCATAAGTTTTAATAAAGAGTTTAAAAGCATTCAATCCAATCTGTACTCATCAACACCATAAGAAAATCAAATTTAAAAATTAAAAATAGCTGACTGTTAATAATTATAACCTCAAATTCAACTGTTCACTGGCTGCTATCAATTGAAAGTAAGATAACAATTTTTTAGTGGGTATTTGTCGTAAATCAATATCATCCTTTACATATTCGTTGTTTTCCATTTTGTTTCAGAACCACGACTGTAAACTTTTACATTGCTATAATTTATATTCAATCTCGAAGACAAATTCAACCGCAGTCATGTCAGACACCAACCATGTATCAAACCATTACGAAATTAAAGGCATCCAAACGATTGGCGAAGAGTTGTACTTGAAAGAAAAATGGGCTGACTTCCATTTTGAGTTTGAGTCAGCCGATGGTCCATGCGACCGAATTCCAACGCATAAAAGTTTCTTGAGCACGATCAGTGATATTTTTAAAACCATGTTCAATGACACATGGAGAGAGCAAGACTCGGTC